TACAAACTAGACAAATTGCAGTTTAACGGGTGTTTGAACAACCGGGGGTTATAATCCGTGCACTCTGGTTGGGATTCACAGACAATGAACGTTAAAGAAGTCATATTACTGTTCTACACAAAAGACGTCCACCTAGGTTACATACAGACATATATATGACTTCCTGCTAAATAATAATAACAACAAATTCCCTTGTGAAGCCGTGAGCATATAGGAGTGAGCAACAATAGGCGCGTAGCTACAACTTCAAGGAACCTGATCAAACAGCGAGCAATGCATGAAAGCTATGCTAAATTTCTTCTTCGGTACCAGTAGCCTAACTAGTAAGAATACGGACTCACTTTGACGAGGAAGAAGGTGATTCCGTAGGTTTTTAGGGAGCGACAGAAATGGCAATATTTCACTCGGGCTTCGACATCACTGATTCCAGTCAATGTAGCGTGCTGCTGAAATATTTTCTTCTCCAGACCCTTCATCTTTTGGAACTCTTTCGGGAGGTAATCTCTGAGGCTGTGGACAAAGAAGAGGGAAAATAAAGTCTGAGATAGGCGGTGAAACAGTGACTACAGGACGATCAATAGCTAATAGTTCAGCACAACTGGCAGCAATAGCAAATATTTCGTAAATTGAGACAAGTAAAGACTATAATTTAAACTCAAAAATGTGTTTTAACCAAGGAAATCATCTGTGCACAAACACGAGAACGCGTAAGTTAAGGATTACTTATATGGCATCCTAAATAGAACACAGGAATAGGAACATTCGCCCAAGTAAGAACGATAGCATTTCGAATAAGTCCTAACGAACACGATGGTAGAGGGACAATCCCCGATCGCGATACAAAAAAACTCATCAAGTCGTGCCTTGGAGCTCAATGCTTGGGGCGTTGGATTTCTAACCGACAGGCAGTGGATTTGGGCCTTAGGGGTTGCAACATCTGGGATTAGGTATGGCTGACCGATGACGGCTAATAAGCCAGAAATGGCCACTGCAATCGGGTCTGACCCAAAAACTGAAGACAGCAGTAATCCTTAATTGGTCTCATCCTAAACCCTTACCATACCATTAACCCTAACTTACTTTAGCGCTAACTCTAGCCCTGAACTTAAAACCAAACCTAACCAGAAAGTGAATCACCTTCCTCTGCGGTTTTGCGCAAAGACATCCGTGACGACTTGTTTGGAGCATGGGAATATGGACCTACGGATTAACCGTGGATCGACAATAAATTCCAGAGGGTTAATGTTAAAGTTAGGACTCGGGAATAGATAACCTTGGAATTGAACGCAAGGCCAACTGCAATGCGAGGAGTCTATACTTTCTTGTCCGACCAACTCTTTCAATAGTTTCGGTGGAGGTTAACGATTTTAAGGAGAAGGCGTTTCTCTGCGTACTGTGTACTTACTCTAGAGAGCCACTCTTGAACTTATCCGGATTGTAGTTTCCGAGCTCAACCTGACATTGAATGGCAGCCAGGTAGACGGCTTCATCAAGGGTGACTGGATGAGTTCCGTTCAGGATGGCATCTTTAAGCTGTCAAAAAGGGGTGGGAAAAAAGAAAGGTCAGCCTATGCAAATATAAATGAAGATACGACACTGAACGATGGATCGCACTAAAGGCCTTATTCCAACAGCAATATTCCCCGGCTTTTCGGAGTCCAAATTTATCTTGAATGGGGTAAAAAGCATGCTGTACGGCCGAAGCAGATAAACTGTCAACACTGTAAATCTTGCCGATAGAAGAGAATATACGAGTTACAGGAAGCATTTCAGACGTAGAAGGTGCAATCACTGGAACAATATTAAGTTGGTTTGGCAGATTTGGTTAATTTAGTTGACCCAATTGTGAAAAAACTCGCGGCATTCTGAGATTCAAACCCGCATAGGAGGGAGGCCTTTTACGCAAGCCAACGCTCTACCTCTTGAGCTACGATATCGCGCTTCACACCGTGAGTTTAATCACACTTGGATCGATATTACCCGCCCAAAATTGTCGCTCATATGGAATACACCAATACGGGACAGCAAGTTGACTGCCCAAGACTGACTTAATTATTAAGTTAATTTGGCAGATTTGGTTAATTTAGTTGACCCATGCATATGCACAAATACCACCCAATCTGTGCATATATCACGCCAATCTGTGCATGTCTCATACTATTCTACGGTAACCTATGATTAAGGATTCTCGACAGGATCCGAAACGTCAGGCCAACAAATTATTGTTCCAGTGATTGCACCTTCTACTTCTGAACTGTAAATCTTGTCGGCATTTAAGGAAAGATGCGCTTAGCGTGGGAACACAAAGAACTACCGACTAATAGGCGTGTAAAAGCAGATGTGTGACTGTTCAAAAGACCCCCTGCGCCGCAAAAACGCTAGGTAGGCGGCACAACGGATGACATTTTTCAGAGAAATAGTTTAGCTACGCCAGTAAAGATGACTGTTTACTGATAAACAAAAGATGCTGCTGCAGCAACAACAGCAGTAATACAACACGTACTTCGTATCCACGTATAGAGCGACATGGGAGGAAAAAGAAATAGCTTATGTGCGTGCGTGTAGGGAAGGTTACGTGTGGATTTTAGGTCGTGGCGCAAAAGCCCATGCAAACATTTTGGAAATCGCTCCAGCAGTCGGGACTCAATTAACAAAACCACCCAATGATAAACCGCAAGAATGGGGGGAGGAGCAGTAGGTGACGATGGTTGTGATAGTGGTGTTGGCGGCGGAAAAGGAACTAACAACACGCTAAAAGGAACGCCTACGGGATTGACATGGGCGACCGCTTTCCTGCTCCGTGAGTCAGTCACACAAATTGTACACACGCTTCAAATGGGAACAAGGTGAGGGCATACTGAGTCACCCAGCGCTGCAGAGGTGAAAGTAACGTCACG